CAGTCCTAAGAACACTCCAAGTCCCTTTAAGAATCAAAGGCAACCCTTTCCTTGTTGCTGATCTAGAAGAATCCAGTCCTCAAGCTTAGCAAGGGTGGGAAGCGGTAGGCAGAATGATGGGAATGGAAAAGTTGAGCTACAGCTGCAATAGACCAGAACAAGGTGCTGGAGCAGACTGAGGAAGGTGTCCACACAAAAGTGTGAGCAGTGGGTATCAGAGACCTGTGGATGCATGGAAGGCATCTGTGGGTGGGAACTCAGAGCGCCAGTGAAGTGAGCAAAACCTCCAGTGGGAGAGAGAAAATGGTGGAAATAGCCAGCTCAGGTTGTCAAAGCTGGAATGAAGTCCTCAGGGCATGTACAAGGGGTTTGAAGGGTTGTTGACAATGAAAGGTTGGTTATACACCGGGGCTTGATCAAATAAGGAATTATATCAAAAAGATAAAAAGCACCAGATTTCTTACTCTCAGAAAAAAGTTATAGCATTATGCTAAGTGAAATAAGCCAGTCAATGAAAGAGAAATACCACCTGATCTCACTCATTTATGGATAATAAAGTACATTATAACTTGATGAACTAAAAGGTTCAGAGAAGCATCAGACTGTGAAATTATAGTAGGAAGGCTGGGGGCAGGGAGGTAAGAGATCAACTGAAGGACTTGTATGCATGCAATGGATGCAAGACACTGGGAGGTGAGGTTATGTATGGGAGTGGGGTTGGGGAGCAATAGGGATATATGGACACATGCAATACCTAAAAGAAGTAAAGAAAAACTGGAATAAATGATAGTGTTAGATTGGAGTTGGGGTACTGGAATGAAAACATGGTTTTCAATGTATGTAAAAAGACACACAGATATTCTCTCTCTCTCTTAGATAGATGCTTTTGTTGTGCCAACTGGGTGTAATGATACTCCAATAGCAAAAAATACACACAAAACCCTATTTTGGCTTCTAAATATTAATCTTCATATAAGAGGGCCACTTGGAAAAATATCACATTAAAGGACTGGGGCACACAAAATGTAAGACAAGTCCAAAACAGTTTTGGGCCAGAAAGTAAGAGATAATTAAAATAAATAAGGGTAATACCTAAAGGACCAGCTCAGCTGAGTTAAAAAAAAAACCACAAAAAACAAACTGACTTTAAGCCCCCATAAAAATTCAAGGTATAATATAACCCAAAAATAAAAGGTATAATAAATTGCAATTAATTTTAATCAAAAGAACCTTGGAGACATTCGTACTTTCTGATACATAAGGGTTAAGTTTTCATATGAAAATAGAGTTCAAATAGAAAACAAACAAACAAACAAAAAAACCCAACACTGCATGAATTTTTCTTAATGATTAAACAAAGTAGGGAATGGATATCTCTATTTTTATCTTCTGGTCCCTAATTATAGCTCAGAAAATGGTAGGCATTACTACATAAATTATGATTTAGAATTGACATCAATAAAACATATCATAGCAACCTGATTACCAATAACCAAATCAGCTGCCTCATAATGGCTTATCTCAGGCAGAAGAAGATAATACAAGTACGAATATCGATTTGAAGATGTTAGACCTATCAGCACTCTGAGAGGAAAAGTAACTTAAAACAGACTATACTGATTCAAAATTACCAGATAGGGAAGAGGGAGTAACTCTTTGAGTTGTACTGTAACTCTTTGTTACTCTACTGACCTTAAAGAATTAAAACAGCATTCATAATGACCAGATTTGTCCCTAAGGAGTAACTCTGAGTTGGGAATATCTGCATCACTAAGTATTGTACTTTCCTTATGTCATAGTAAAAGCACTTTAACTATAAATGTGACTTCCATGGACTATTGGATGTCACACAAGTTAGTAACAAAGTGACCTTTCTGTTAAACAATTCATAGATTCACTAGAATTTTCTTAAACTTTCAGGAACCAAATATATTTCACAGTCTTACAGATCTCAAATCTTGATTTTCCTCTGAAATCTTTTTCTACCCTGCTCACCACCATTTCCCCTTCTGTACAGTTCATTTAACTTTCATTCCAGGGTTAATTGTTCATATTTTCACACATAAGTAGGCATTTACATAATAAACTTTGTTTCAATATTTTAACACCTATTGATATTTTATAGCAAAAATAACCTATTTTACTATATATATTTTTAGATTGTGTGATTCTTCTTTTTTTAATATATTTTATTGATTTTTACTGAGAGGAAAGGATAGGGATAGAGATTTTAGAAACATTGATGAGAGAGAAACATAGATTAGCTGCCTCCTGCATACCCCCTGCTGGGGATGTGCCCGCAACCAAGGTACATGCCCTTGACCCGAATCGAACCTGGGACCCTTCAGTCCGCAGACTGACACTCTATCCACTGAGCCAAAATGGCTTTGGCTGATTCCTCTCCTTCTTCTTCTTCTTCTTCTTCTTCTTCTTCTTCTTCTTCTGCTTCTTCTTCTTCTTCTTCTTCTTCTTCTTCATTGAAAATGAAATTGGAACATTCTCAATTATTGGGAAAAAATAGTTATTCCATAGGGAATATCTCAAACACAGATGTATAAAACTGAAGGTGAGATTTACTAAAACAGTAGCTATACTGACCAATATACCATGGTAAGCTGATCTGGCCTTGAATAAACAACAATTTTTTAAAAAATTCTAAGAAAAATTAAAAATAATTGTTGGGCCAAGTGACTAAGAGCAGTGAAGCGTTTCCATAGGTAAGAAGGCCGTGCTTGGGGACGGAGTTCAGGGGCTTGAGGAACCTCAGTCTGATGCCTGGGGACACTGCTGGTTTTGGTGAGCTTTAGGTTGGCCGTATAAGAACAACAACGTCAAATACCACAGATCCAGCTGGGTCTCCTGTGCTTTTAGTTATATATGTATACGCAAGATTGTGGGACATGGCAAAATTAGTGCCTGGTAGATATTAAATTTATAATATTTAATTTGGATATGGTATTTAAACTTTTTAGTATTTATTTGAAATGAGTATACTATGGTGATAATATATATATATATATATATTCCCCCCCCCCCTGTATATCTTCCTAATACTTCCTGGAAGCACAGCAAACCATGTCTCAATCCAATAACATGCAAAGGCGATGTGTTCTCCCTCACTTACCACTTGCCTGATTTTTCAGATCCATTTCTCTCTTCAAACACTAGCTGTGAACTTCTTTTTTAAGGGCACAGACTCTGTAGCCACCCCTTATCCTAATTGGCACAACAGTAACCTTTGTAAGATACTTTTCGAATACTGGAGAGAAGTGTGTATGTTGGTTAAGGATGCTGTTCGGGTAATGAAGTGTCACTGAGGGTCATGAATTCACATAAGTATCTCCAATTTTCATGAAGTCAGAAGCAGGTTAAACCATTTATTACGAAAGGGCATAAATGGTTTCTTAAAAGCCATACATTTTTTTCTCAAAATATTACCTTCATTTTACGCCCTGTAAAATCAAAGCACGATTTTCAGAAATTGCTCTTCCCCTTTTCAGGGTCCACTTTTCTAATAAGACTTCTCCCCGCTGTGTTTCTAAATCTCTAGCAACCGTAGTACCATATAAAAGAGGCAGTTGGAAAAATGTGGCAGACACAGAGTAACAGATATGCAAGCCTTGAGTACACACACAAAACTTCTAAGTCTAAGTGAAGTACGCAGAGCTCATTTCCCAGGTCAAGGAGAGGAAGCCCCCTTAGGAATGTCCGACTTGGGAAATATTAGCCACAGCTCACATAAGAGTTTCAGGTTGTTACTTGGAACTGATGAGTTAACCTTATTTCACAAAAGAGCTAGAAACTAAAATTTACTTTGTAATAAGTTGAGGGATTGGCAATGCTGACTGAGGAATAATCCTTACAATTTAAAATTGTCATTAAAGCTGGAACCCTTAACGCATCACCATAAAATAAATATTATAAGATTTTATCAGTTTAGGTTGTTACTGAAATGTGACTTTATTTTTTTAAATATATTTTTATTTATTTCAGGGAGGAAGAGAGAGGGAGAAGTGATAGACACATCATTGATGAGAGAGAATCATGGATTGGCTATCTTCTGTACACCCCACACTAGGGATGGAGCCCATAACCTGGGCATGTGCCCTGATTGGGAATTGAACTGTGACCTTCTGGTTCATAGGTCGATGCTCAACCACTGAGTCATGCTGGTCAGGTGGATTTTATATTATTATTAATTATAAAGAATAAAGATGATGCTAAAAGCTTAATTGTAAAATTACTCTAATACTGATTTCATAATTACACTTACTTCTTAGGGTGATGGCTTATCCACTATGGTGACAAAGAAAACAATATCACCCATCTGGGATTTCCAATGAAGGCAACAAAGGATTCAACACACCCCGTTCTGGGCCACCTTCAGGCTCAGATGTGATACATGCTATGGAAAATATACTTTCAGCCGAGAATTACTATCTGGTATTTGTTGAGTGGGATAGTTACCTCCAGCTGTATAGGTATCTAGAATTGTAATGACATCAATTTCTGAGCAAAAATGAGGACTTTTGTGAGTTCAGGGAAATATAAATATGGGAAAGAATGTTATATGTCCTAGGTATTTACTTATCTACTTATGTATTTAGAATGCAGCGAAAAGGAAAAGTTAAATCGGAAGAAAATTGAAGGAAAAAAAAAAAGTAAATGAAACTGTTGTATCCTCTACAGCACATGTGTCAAACACAAGGCCCGCGGGCCAAATCCGTCCCGCCAGGCCTTGCAATGTGGCCCGCACCGCGCTGTCATCACTGCACTCCGCTGCGTTTCCATCACAATGACAGTTTATGACTGTTCAGTAAACCATTCGGCCCGCGATTTAGGCTGGATTTTAGATTTTGGCCCCTTCTCTGATTGAGTTCGACACCCCTACTCTACAGTGAAAGAATACTCTCTGGGTTACAAATAAGATGTTTACCTCAACCTGCAGAAAACAAAAAGGGTCTTGTAGCATCTGATAGAATTTTGGTTTGTTTACTCACCCACAGGAGACATTTCTGGGACACTGGCAACATATGGTCCATCCAAAAACTTTGGCTCATTATCATTAATATCCTGCACTTTGATGATGAATTCTGATTCAGGCTCCAGGGGCTTCCTGGTTTCTATGTCCACAGCCTGAGCACGAAGCGTGTAGAAAGGTTTTTCTTCTCTATCCAGGCTCCTTATTGCATGAATGTCCCCTGTAGTTTCATCAATGGTAAAAATGGTGCCGGCGCCATCTCCAGAGAGGGTGTATTTTACACTGCCCTCTCCCTTATCTAAGTCAGAATGGAGCTTTAGGGAGAGAGGGGGAGAGGGAGGGAGAATGAGAGAGAGAGAGAGAGAGAGAGAGAGAGAGAGAGAGAGAGAGAGACCATTAAATATATGATTCTAGGTAAAAAGCCATATTTGCAATACTATTTTTAGTCAGAAAAGGTTAAAAAACACACACAATAATATGATTCTTTTCTGTTTGTTTTTGTTTCCCAATTTTTAATTATAAACATTTTAATCACACAAAAACCAAAGTTTGAAAAATATATGGCGAACGCCTGCATATCCCAAAGACTCCACCATTTTCACCTTTAAATCTACTTGACTTCACGCAGAGATAGATCCAGTATTTGTACTTCATTCCAGCTTCTCTCAACCCATCTTATTGCTCAGCTCATTGCGGATATCAGAAGTACATCCCCCGAACACATGAGCATGCATAAATACAACCATTTTGAGCACACGTACCTATCTGTTTCTTCTACATACTTTTGCTCTTAAACTCTACATTTTAGTTTTGGTTCAGTAAGATAACATCACCATTCAAATTATATTATTGAAATAAAAATATATTCATTTTGTAAATTTATATTGATCTCAAATTTTGCTCTGAAGGTATATAAATATAAGCAAAGGATTTAGACCTAAGTTTTCTAATTAAGAGAATGGGAAAACAATAAGGGAGCGCTAGGTTTTGGTTTTTCTTTGACAGTTTTTGTATATTTTACTCAAGTCTAAGAAAAATGCTGTGAATGATAGGAAGAAGCCCCCCTTCCCTCCCCCCAATTCTTTACAAACTGCTGTGAATTATAAGAAGGTTCAAGCGTAAAATCAAGCTGTAGATAAATCTTCTTTGAACCTAGAAAATTCAAATTACAGATTCCAACCATACTATTAAAAATACCAAATGCATTGAGTATTGCTTTTGCTTTCAAATTCATCTAAAGATATGAGACAGGCAAATGCTCAGTGCAAAAGCAATGACTTTATAAACTGTATCCATTTTGTCAACAGCTCAAAAAAATATGTGATAATATTGTGGAAATGGAGTGAAAATTCTAAATAGGTTTTTACAATGTGATCCAAGTAGTTACCAAAAAATTTTCATTTAGCTAAAATCAGAACCATTTTCTTTTTGAACTGACATAATAAAAAAGCAAATGTGTTTTCAGCTCTCTCCAAAATCCAAATTAAATTCAGTGTTGCTACTCCTTCCTCTTCCACCTTTTTCTTATATTTTAAATCTGAGTTTTTTAGAAATTAAAACTTCAAAAAAATATTTGAAGGCTTGGAGTGGAGGAGGTGGGGCAGGACAGGGCAGGCTAGAAGGGGTTAATGGGGAGAGTGGGAATATATACTTTCAATATAAAAATTTAAATATATATATTAAATTTTGAACTGAATATGAACTTGTTTAATGTAAAGCTCTTGAGAAGATTAGAATTTTTATAGTAGCTCATTGCAGGATACTATTATACCTTAAAGGAGATCACATGATCACATGCAATCACTTGCATTGGCAGGCAATATTCAAAATCAGTTATTCAGTGCTGATTAAGTCAGGCACATAGGTGGCTAGCTTACACTATAGGTGTTTGCTTATTCACAATCAATATAATATTAAATAAGTGGTGTTCATATGATGTTGGGTATTATAAAATTTTCTTCATGTTACATATTAATTAACTTGAATAGAGAATGTTATAAACTAAAGTGAAACTCTCTTACCTAGAGGGAACTTTTTTGGTCATTTTAATACACTTTCAGTTATATTTTACACACACACACACACACACACACAAATATATTAACATACTAATATATTTTCTTGTGTCTATATAATTGTGTTCTGATTGTATATACATATATGCATAATTGTTAAAATGATAAGTAAGTCAATTCTTTCAATAAGAATATATTATGATGATTTTCAGTGTCATTTGAAATTATTCAAAATTATTTTTAAATTTCTGTATTATATTCATTTAAGGAAGTCAGTGGGTTTTGCTTATCTCTTAATAAAAAAATGTGATGAATGTGTGTGTTCTACTTTTTAGTTCCTGAAAATAAAAGAGTAATTTTTGAGATTAAAATCATGATAATTTTTATTAAAAATTTGAATATTGAGTGATTCCAGAAATTGATCTCTATAGATGAATTTACTCTTTTATTTTTAATCTTTCAGGAGTCAGCTGCTTTCTGCACACCCCTCTACTGGGGATGGAGCCTATAACCCAGGCATATGCCCTTGGCCTGAATCGAACCCGGGACTCTTCAGTCTGAAGAGTGATGCTCTATCCACAGAGCCAAGCTGGGCAGGGCGGGAAAGGGGATTCTTGTGCTTTGCCTCATCTCTGAGTTGTGTTCAGAAAAATCACATGATGCCATTTTATACAGAGAATTTAGGCTACACATATGGAAAGCTAATTACTCATTCAAAGCCATCTATACTAAAAGAGCCTGGGGCTGACATGACCAGAGGGACTACTGGTCACAGGAAGTGCATGGAGCACCTCTGGGTCCCGCCTCCATGGCCCACAGGCTCCTATCACAGCAAGGCTGGTGATCCGGTGGGCGGGGAGAGGTAGTATAGAGAGCAGGGCCTGGCTGTCAGGTGCCAGGGTGAGCAAGTGAGCAGGAAACCACCTGTGTGAGCAACACAGGAAACACCTTTTCTGACCTCTCATTGGCTAAGCTCTACGTACACCACTTTCAGTTTTTTTGGTAACTTGGGTAATAGGAATCCAAGAAGGTGATCTAGGATTTTTCAACCTCACTCCTGGAGGAAAAATAAGGGTTTTTTTGTTTGTTTGTTTGTTTGTTTGTTTTGGATTGGAGAGGGCACATTTTGTGTACCAGGTCTCTAGTTTAAAAATAACAGCGAGCTACATTTCTTATTTCAATTATTTTTAAAAAGCTTTTTCTGTGTAGATGATGACTATTTACTGACTGACACAGCCAACTCCAATAAAATCACCTTCTAATAGTGACAGTTAAAATAAAATTTGTCCTAGAAAAAGTTCCATAAATGATGGATGTAGAAATCCACGGTGTCCAGACAGTTGTTTTGTGGAAGAGGTGTTGTTATTTTCTGCTGTTTTCCAAGTCATCTCAGATGGAGCGTGAAAAAGAGATGCCAAAAGAGGCTTAAAAAAGATACTGAGGAATAGCTTAGGAGTATAAGTGAAACTGAATTTTAGGGCTTAAAAGTTTTGAGAAAGCTAACCTAAAGTCAAGTACTTACTAGCATATCTCTGATTATATTTTAGAAACGGCTGCACAAAAGAAGGAATTTAGTCTCCTTTTCTCTGGGTTGAAAAGTGCACATAAGAATATAAAATATTTTTATATTACCATGTCCAGCAGGAGTTTTATTTTCATTTGCTATTTGCCAGGATAGGGGGTGGTTCCTAGGCATGGCGGGAGAATGGGGTTTGTTGAAAGGAGAAATTGTTTTCTTTACATACAGGGTGTATTCAGATCAACTTGCAAAAATGAATATAAGGCCATTTTTCTGTGTGAGTTTCTTTGGCTGAAAAGAAAATTCCTTATGTACAAAATGACTTTTGCTCAGTTCTCCTTGGTGATCTTCTAAAATACTAAGTGGTTTTTGTTTTTTTGGTTTTTTTTTTTTTTTTTTTTTTTTTTTTTTTTTTTTTTTTTTATAGTTGCTTTGGTTTCCTGTTAATGCCTACTCTGTCCTCAGGAACATGGCAGCGGCCTTTATTAGCTACAATGTCATTAGATTGTTTTTAACTCGTTGTTTATTGACACAGGAAGACCAGACCCGATGATGATTTATAACTCTGTCTGAGTAATGGAATCATGCAAACTTTTTTTCTCTTTCTGAAGCCACTGAATGCTCAAGACTATTTGACATCTATTCCGTTCTGTTCCCGGAGGGGACTCATTTGTTCTTCCTCGCTTGGCTGTTGCCATTCCAGCAAGAGGAATATTCCTTTACAAGGTTGGGAATTCCCTTCAACTGCCCAATGTGAGTTGAGAACTCCCCTGCCTGGGTTACAGGCCCAAAGCTATTTATCATCTGGAAATGTTTCAACTTCTGTTTAAGAAAGTAGAAACCCATTTCAAAAAGGCCCACATTTCCCCAGAGGTATGCAAAGGAGGAGCAAAGAACAAAGGCTATTTACCATGCTTGGGAGCGACAAAAGCTGATGTTTTAGGATATATTATACATCCTGGTGCTAAAAAGGACCAGCAGGCCCCAAATGGGATCTTGTGCCATGCCCCACATCACCAAACCAAGTCAATTAACCTAATTGTCTCAACCTCTCCCAGGAATATCACCTTTAACTAGTCAACCCGGAATTACTTGGCCAGCACAGGGAGATCACGTGCCAGACAGACTCCTTGGTGATCTTGTATGAAATGATGAGTACTTTGTTCATCTTTTTCTGCCTCTTTTACATCTTGAAAAACCTTTTCCAGCTTGGCAGAGCTCCTTGCTGTTCACTGTATGGGAAGCTACCTGATTCAAGAATCCCTGAATAAGCTCATTTGATCTTTCAATTTATTCAGTTGAATGTTTGTTATTTAACAATGCAAAAGAAAAATATATACTATCCACCTGATAGTCTCTCTCATTTTTCCTTGATTACTGTATGGGTGGTTATATGTGAGAGGCATCCTTTTTTTTTTTTTTTTTTTTTAAATTGACATATTTTACACCTTGGGCTCACCCAGATTATATCATTTGTGAGTGTCACAATATATTAACAGGTATTTCTGCAGAAGTTTGAGAGGTCATTGGCATGGTGCCTGGATTTAGAAGAAAAAAATATGAAGGAGAAGGTTAAAATAATTTCTTTCATACATTTCCAAAGCTGTAGAACATTTTTCACAGAGCTATTTTTTTAGGTAACAAAACATTTCCAGACAATAAACTATTCTGATCAAACCATCGCTAATGAAATCTGTTTTTGAAGTAAAAGTACATTTTATGTATGGTTATTTTTCAGAATACTAGGTAGATTTTTATGTATCAGTGTAGACTTAAAGGA